ATCATCCTTCCCTGTTCATATAGAAGCCCCTCCCACCTCCAATTTCCACGACTTCTCCAACCCTGTCGTTAGTATCTCTGTTGCCGAAGCTCTACGCTCGCATAGTCCTGTGGTAGTCCAACCTACGCCTAATTTCAACTCTTGGAATGGAACGCTGAGTGAACAGGCCGAAAATGTGAACCCGCCGACCATGGCGACCAGCGTCTATGCGCAGATGCCATCCGCAGCAGTGGTGAACCCCGCACCAGTTCTTTCCCACCAACACCCCAATCAGTCGTCTCCAGCACCCAGTATCGGCTCGTCACACGTCGACCAACAATGGACTGGGACGAGGCTGAGAGGACTAACGGCTATTCAACCAGCTGCTTCCCCCCAGGCTCCAGTCCACATGACGAGGAGCAAAAATGGACTGGGACAGCCTCCACCACTTGTGGTGCATCTTAAGGACAGAGGTATGTGTCTTGTATTTAGATATCAAACAAGCTTTCCACCGAAAGCTCTGTCCTTAAGCCATCTAGAAATGGCATCCTTTTATTTTCTCCTCTCTTCTTCATAATTGCGTTACCTTTGTAGCTTATTAAAAAATTCTTACACGGCGCTGCACAGTCAAAAAGATTATTTTCGATTGGCAAAGCAACAGAACAGGGAAATTTTTACTATGGATTATCGAAAGTATTTTACTAAAACCCAGACATTTTGTCATACAAATTTTGGATCAATCCTTTTTGGATCAATGTCAGTATCTGAACAATTGTGCACCTACCCCTCCCCTGACTCAATAACAGTCAAATGATAACAAGGTGGGGTAAATGTTGGGTTAGGGGAGGGGATGGGGTACAGTTGTTCACATACTAACCTTGATCCGAATTTCTTAAGGGTGTTTTATTTTCCTTTAAAATGTCTCTAGAGTCCAATAAATAAACGGAGCGTCCAGTGAAACTTCTGAGGTATTGCTTAAAAAAGAGTTGAAAGGATTATACGTCTAGAAGTAAAATATAATATTTCCTTACGATTCGCCATTTGTTTTTTGATGTAGGTCGACCCGTGCGTGCAAAGGAAACTGGCCTTACAGAAGAAGAACTTACAGAAGAGTTTGTGACTTCCTCTGGTCAGAAGGTTTACAGATGTAAAAAGTGTGACAAAGAGTTTTCGTTCTCTAGCCGTTTAAAACGCCATCTTCTGGTGCACACGGGTGCGCGGCCGTTCGAGTGTCACGTTTGTTCCCGCCGCTTCACGCAAGCCGTGGATCTAAAACGTCACATGCTACGTCACAGTGGTCAGAAACCGCACGTGTGTCACTTCTGCGGGAAGCAGTACACGAGAGGCGATCGGCTTAAAGTGCACTTGTTGTCGCATACTCAAGAAGATAATTCGGAGAAGCCCTACAGTTGCTCAAGGTGCAGTGCTACTTTCTACGAAGCAGAGGAACTGCGACTGCATGTGTGTGAATTTCAAGAAGGTACACAACTGGTTGGAGGTGATATTGAGCTCAATGACGCTTACGTAGAAGAGCGGGGAGGTAAGGTAGCCCGCACAGGAAAGAATTATTCGTGCGAGGAGTGCAATTCCAGCTTCACCAAGTACACTTCTCTCAAGTCACACCTTCTTAAGCACACCGGTGAAAAGAAGTACAAGTGTGAGCATTGTAACAAAACTTTCTTCAGCTCTAGTAGTTTAAAAATCCACGTCCGAGTTCACACTGGCGACCGACCGTTTAAGTGCAAGGAGTGCCCGAGGAAATTTAGTGACCCGTCGAACTTCAACAAACATAAACGATGGCACGCCAAACAAAAGGGCCCGAGTACAACGTCGGCAACATTGTCGAGCATCTCCGAAAACAGCTCGCCTTCCGATGATAAGACACAGAAGGAGGCTGCTGATGCCGAAGAAAATGGATCGGGGCCGACCGAAAACGAAGTAACAGCCGAAGAATCTGGTGCGAAAGAGGGTGACGCGAAAGAGGATTTGCGAGAAGATCTTTTCCCTGGGACGAGCCAAGATATGGAAACTGAGGAGACTGGAGGATTTAATTCGCCTGAGGCGTTGCTCAACATGGGATCTGAATGCGAAACTAGTGTAAAACAAGAGATAACGGACTAGTTAGGCTTTCATGACCCTTGGGAAACTCTCTGAGCAAACGCCATAGTTAAAACTCTTGGATCAATTTCAGTATCTGAGCTACTCTGCACCTTCCCCTCCCCTAACCCTACATTAACCCTCATTTGTTTTCAGTTGACTATTGCTGGGTTAGGGGAGGGGTAGGTGCGCAGTTGCCTATGTACTGACAATGATTCAGAACATTCTACATTTTCTTAAAAATGAATCTCCTATTTATATAAATTGGCTTTGCATTCTAAAATGATAATGTAAGCTAGCTTAAAAAGTATATCTAAACATCGCTTAATGAAAGTGTAACACTTCACAGATACAATGCGTTGCTCTCCATTTAACGTTTAATGAAATATATCGGATTAGGTTTTAGAAAGAATAGATTTAGATTTGAATTTATATACTATATATTATTATTATTATCGTTCTTATTACAAAAAGAGCAAAATGATAACAGGTGTAGAGGACACGGGATTTTGGTTTAGAATATGAAGCCTCAATTCGATGCACAAGACCCAGTTCTCCAGGTTCGAATCAAAGAATATTGAAGCCATCTCGAAGTCTCTTTTATAGAATACACGTCATTTACATTCCTTCACGTGAGTAGCATTTCGCGTCGTTTACCGTTAGAAGAGCTTCCTTTATTAGATCATCGTGGGGGTGATGAAAATATCTATATCGACATGAAGTTATGGAGTGCAACCTTAGATATAACGCTAATTGCTTGCAGCTAAAAAGCAGGGTATAGCGTAAGGAAGTGCGTTCAACCCTTCCCTCCCCTTACCCCCTCTTCTCCCCCCCCCCCCCTTTTTCGAGAATAAGAAACGATTTACTATGACTAAACAATCTAACCACCTAACTAGTGGCTGAAGCGGAGAACGATCTTTCCGTTTCCTTTATTTCTTTGTTTGTTTGTTTGTTTGTATTTATAGCTGATGCGTGGCATCTTGGTTGCACTTTATAGCAATAGGCCATTTTACAGGTATGTACTTAGTTGCCAAGCCTTTGATTTTGAGTGAGGCTGAAGATGACATTGTTGTGATAGAGACCAGTATCTAGTTAGCGTAATATCAAAGCAATTTACACTTGAAAAGCAGCAAGGTTTGTATCATAACATGGTCACCCTTAGCCTCACTCCTGTTCAAAGGCTTGGCACACACACAGCTGTAAAATGGACTATTACAGCATCATTGTATATAGCGCATTCCTTACTTACAATGCTTACGGACTTACATGTATTTAGCCTTTTTGTAACATATATTTCAAGTTCATGTACGTGGATTGGTTATGGTATCTACTAGCTTGGATGTCACTCTGAAATAGTAGCCAATATGCGCATGCTCATAGGTTTTGTTAAAGAATGAATAAACGTCGGCGTCGCAAAGGTACCGGGTGTGGTTGTCTTTTGAGTAAGTTTTAGTGAGGTGATTTATGGGGTTGCTGGGTTTGCTTAATTTAGCTGAGAATGGTCCTAAAAGAACCATTTAGTGTTTGTTTTGACGAGACCTGCTTTTGTACTCCTTTTCGTCCAGTGAGGTGGGAACAGGCCTTAAGAGCAGGAGTGCCGTCTTCTCTCCCGCTTCCTAGTCCGCCCAAAGAAAGATAATACGTTTGAAATCTTTTTTTAACTTAGGTCAAAAGCTGAGGTCGACGCAACCTTAAATTAGGGGAGACGCAACCATACTTCGGTGCGAATGAACTTTACTAGGGGGCGACGAAATTTGGGGAAACTATCAAATCTATTTTGAATTCTCTTTGGCTTCTTGTGATATTTTCCACTCTTTTGATTGGGCTTTAAGGTTACCTTAATTTGCTTACACAAACTTCGATCAATGTGGTACAGTTCCATCCCATCTTCCTTGCCCTTCCCAACAACAACGAAAGAAGACTGGAGACGAGTCAGCCCCAAATTCCAATGACCATATGAGCACATCAGCAGGAGACAGCTAGTCTCGTACCTAGACCTTCCACGGCCAAGCGGTATAATATAAAGGTCCAGTAAAGTTCGATTTCGGTACATTTCAGTTATAGTTAAACGGTAGGATCTGGGTACAAGATTAGGAGATAACTAAATCATTCGTATTATTTATTTCTAATTTTCGTTTAATTAATAAATTTTTTGGTTACACTTGTACTAAAAATCGAGTTTTTCACATTCAGCATCTTCAGTGCTTTTAGCATTTATCATTACTACCGTGTGCATAATTAAGACAGCTTCGTTCCCAGGCCCTCTCTTTCCTATACAAAAAGAACCACTCCCGTCCCCAAAGTCCCTCGGTTTCTCGTCCAAAGGTCCAATCGGCTAGAGAAAACCATTGAGCTATGGGAACGAGAATGAGAGAGAGTCTGAAAAAGTAACTGGAATGACCATAAAAGCTTTTCGCACACAACGAACGTGACATTGCGAATGGAACTAGAGCATTTGTTAATCGTAAATAAGTTTTATACGTACTGTAAACATGTGACATTGGACTTCATTGAAGCATTTCTTTCAAGCTAAGGGGATTTGGAAATTATTGGACACTAAAACAAAAGAAGATTTTCACAGTCACAGGATAAATCAGATGCACCATTAAAAAGATAAATAACTTTGCATTGTTCGAACATACATCGAATAAGATCCACAATGGCTGCCACTAAACTAGATCACATTTTCTTAATTTTTTAAAACAGCAAGATTGTTCTCCTATTCGCGGCTAGGTTCTAGATTTGCGTCTAACGTAATTGGTGCTAACAATCAATTCTTGAGGTATGCCACTTTACATAATAAAGCAGAATCATCCTTTCTTTGATTTTGATATTTTTGTTTTCCTTGTTACGCTGCGTCAGCTTTAACTGCCATAAAAAAACAAACAAAACAAAACAAACAAACAAAAAAACAATTTGTTCAACGTATCATGAAAATATAATATCTAATCTTAGAACTGATACCTAACACCTTTCCTGATCTTCAACGGGCGCTTATCATCGGAGCTTCTCCACCAGGCAATTCAATCATAGTGAAAAATAATATGACATGAACGATAACATTGACGATAATATTAACTATAATAATAATAGTAATAACAATATTTCGAAAAATAGAACAAAACCAAATCACACATTACAAAAAAAACGAACACACCTATAAAAATGTTCTTGGGGACTTTACATCTTTGCTGTTAACATCATTATTATAATCACCAATAATTTATGTCATGTTAAATCTTGAGAACAGAATTTGAGAAGAAAATATGGAGTGATAGCCAAATTATCCTTATAAATGGACCAGTTTGGCCAGTTGGTTTCAAGCGATGATATTAAATTGTACCACCCTATAATTTGGGTTTGCTTTTGTCATTAGTCTCAGCCTTTTTTAATTTGCCTTTCTTAAAATCGCAGATGGAGCTTAATAATGCGCCTCGTTCTGATGATTTTGGCGGAGGGGCAGCTTTCTGAGCAGGAGGCTGGGAAGGAGGTGGAGGTGGTGGCGCGGGGGCCTGGGGCGGAGGTGGTATGGCTACAAAAAAAGGAAAACAAAACCAGAGTTAAGTTGAGTTAAAATTGAATAACAGCAAAAGTTTTCGAATTATGCCAACAAAAGTTGTGTTAAGTTAATTTTCCTGGGTATAATATGCTGTAACATTTTCACTAATTGGTAATTCATATAAGGAATTCAAGTTGTTTAGATATTTGAAGAGGGTGGGTTGAGACGAGACGAGGCGAGACGAGGCGTGGCACTAGATTTTCTTTGTGAATTTTAGCTTTTTTACGGTCGAGCAGAGAAAACAAACAACAGTAATTCTAATGATCTTTTTGCAATATAACACCTCATTAACGTGTAAACCCGGACCTAAACACAGTGTAAATAAGCTAATCTAAACTACAAAGAAGCTTTTAAACGTACCAGAAGTTTGAGTTCGAGGAGCAGGCGAAGGAGAGGATGGCGGGCGTGCTAATCAAGAAATGATTTTCAGTTAGTCTCTAGCACCTCTAGTGATTAAGCAGCAATACCGTGGTAACATTTGGCGAATTGCTCAGTAAAAACTGAATTGAAATCGCCCTACGCTCTCTCACATCTCCAAGATTTGTTGAAAAAATCCAAAGATAACTTCCAAAATCAGACGGAGCAGGAAAAAAAAGTGGACGGAGCAATCTACATTAGGATGAAACCGTTCAAATTGGAGGGAAACGGCTGAAATCTGCACGACTGAAATGGTGACCTTGCCACTGCGAGCTTGAGGCCACACCACGTGGATTTAAACACCGAGACCCTCGAGTTCTTGGAAGTGACAGTATTCGGTGAACCGTAGTCAAATTAAAAGTCAAAATGAAATTACTACGAATGCTTTAGTTATTCAAGACCCATGTAATCTTCACAGAAGGTTGATAAACGTTTGTTACCTGTTGTCTGTGTTGCGTCCGATAGAGATGCCTCCTTCTGCAACTGCGGGGAAAGGAAATAAACAACGATGGGTAAGGGAGGAGTGGGTGAGGCAAAGTTTTGTGCGGACAAAAAACAAAATAAAACAAGAAACCGATCATGAATAAGCCTGTGAAAAATTGAAAGATGCCATTAAACGCAAAAGAAACAAGGGAAAAGGGCGAATTTTGTGGAGCTATGATGATAACAGCAAGATCAATATTGTCAAATCTAAGGGTGACAAGAGAGGAGACGAAGGAGGCAAATGGGGGGGAGGGGGGTGCGGTTATGATCGTAGAGACAAATTTAAGGGTGAGCATGTTAATGTGGCCGAAAGTCAAGACGTTGCCATGGAGCTGAAGTGAGGGCAAGGAAAATGACTGAACATTGGAAATTAAATAAAACGTTAGTTCAGCAAGGAAGTGGAGAAATCACGACTGACAAAAAAGACTTTGATGATGAAAATTATACATGTAATAACAATGACGATAAATGATGATTGTGGCGGCGATATCTTTACCTATTTTTTTTTTAAGACGGATGGTTAATACACAGCTATCAAACTCTGTTCTGTTTTTGGTCTAATCTACCTCTGACATTTGGACCCTTTTCACAGATCAGTATATTAAACTGAGTCATAGACTAGCTGGCTCTGTTTAGTTGACTACCTCAAGAATATGTAAACACACAGACTGGCTAGCTTGAAGACTGATTCGTTAACTGGCTGGCTCACTGACGTATCGCTGGCTTTCCTCCTTTGTTTTTAGAATGTCACAGGGCGTTGCGTGACATTCCAAAACCTTCCTCGAAAGAGGGCGACCTGACTCTAAAAAATTTTACATTCTGACATTTATTATCTACACTTAAAATCTATTCACAATGAAAGTACGACGGTAATTTAACACCTGATAGTTCTTGTAAAAATACAACAACAAAAATAGTATATATTCATATCTGTAACAAAAGGAATATTATCGTCTACTTGTAACTTTCATATTTCCTATTCAACAGATACACCTCAACAATCCTCTACTTTACCTACACTAAACACACAATCTGTATAATGCATTCCGACCACTATGCTAGCATGCTATTCCTGTAACAAATTATACTAGCACTGATAATAATAATAGTAATAATGATAATAATAAAATGAAAATTAAACACCTTGTGTGCCTACTTTTCATCTCGTTAAAAAAAGGACAACTGGAAACCAACCTTTCCATAGAGCAGGTCGATTAAATTAACAATTAATCAGCTTTTATGATTATGATGAGCATCCATCAATTTATCTATAGTAAGCAGTAAATGGAAGAAAGTATAAAAACCCTTTGACTCCCATGATTTGATTGTTAATTCTCATCTCTAGCTGCTACACATTTCCTTGTGAATCAGTTACAAAAATTCGCTGTTAGATCAAGATAACAGCTTCAACCTGAAAAGTCTGAGTAAGCTAATTACCTGTTTGCTGGATGATGTAGAGATATTAGAGGGAGAATTACTAGTTAATCACTTCTGGATTACTTGTTTATCAATAAAGGGCAAAATTTATACGAAGGAAAATCACGCGCGCAGTCTATTTTTAACAAATTTCAAGATAACGAACGGTTGCTATGCAACGGATTAGCCAATCATTAACAGGTAATCATGCCCTCTCTTGATTACTAAAAATGCCCTCGATTAAGAAAAAATGCCCTCTCTCTCAACCAATCAGCGCTCAGTAATTTTGCCCTTTATTGATAAGAGGGAGAAATGACAAGTTAATCACTTCTGGGAGTTGGAGAGTTTATTATCTTAAATATAAATATCACAATTTGTTATTTTGAAAAAACGCGGACACTCAATGTTGACAAGTGCTGGTTAAGAAACGTCAAAATAACACAACAAAAGATCAAGAAATCATCTCCACCTTCTTTGCGGACTTCTTTCTCTTCTTCTTCTCTTCCTCTGACATGTGGTAGGCATGCGCTTTAGATGCTCTCCGGAACTGTCGTAACTGAAGAGAAAAATGAAAGGAAAATTATCGTATCGCACGTTCATGTGTAGAAACAAAGATTACATTTGTTACGAGTCCTTGAATCAAATGCAATTCATTGTTCAGAAACTAGAATCGAACCCGGGTCACCTTTGAAGCCCAGGTTCGATTCCAAGATTCCAGAGTGACGTGCGATTTTTTGCATATTCTGCATAAGATTGGTGGATTGTTAAGATTTTCCCGTTTGGAAATTTACACGGAAAACTAACGCACGGCCAGGCAAATACTGATCCCCCTTCGCATGCCCTGCTGTTGACTGCTGTGTTGTGGTTGGTTTTCTTCCTCGCCCCAAGGGTTTTCTCCGGGTAATCCAATAATTCTCTCTCCACAAAAACCATCACTACAAAAAATTAATGTAATTCCAGCTGTAGAAAACAGTGAACGAAGAGCCACCTTATGCAAGTAACTTTGCTTACTCCCTTGCATAGCATTATTATTGACAACCTTAAGCACACCAAGACGGCGACGGCAACGAGCATGTGGCGAAACAAACGATTTAATGAGCTGAGCACGTGCATTTTAAAATTATTAATTTCAAAGCTGTCCTTTGCAAAACAAGAACGCCAAAATCAGCAAAATTTGCGTGATCTGAGAAAAGGAAACCCGAAGACCAACGCAGCTCGCAAAAATTTTGAAAGATGAGGTCTGGTGCCGTTAGAGATGGTCAACACATCCAGTCATTCGTAGACTTTCAAAGTAGAATTTAAATTCACTTTAATATGGACGTATCATCGTTGTCGCCGTCCTGACTGCTTAGTGTCCCTATAGTTAAAAAGTAGCGGTCATTTCTACCGTTTTTTGATCCTCCTTGAGTTTAGATTCAGTTCGATCTTTGGCTGTTTTTAAGGCTTCTTTTAATTTACTTGGAATCTATAAGGATAAGACAAAACAATATGATCAACACCGAAGAAAATTCAGTACGTACTGACCATTGATAAGAAACCAGTTACAGCTAAATTCCTATTCTTTTGCAAATACTGAACTTCCCTCACAAACATTTTGTTCTTTAAACTTAAGTAAATTTGATTAAAAACGTCCATTTTCCCAGTGTTTTCACCAAGCTCACAAGCGTTTTTACCATCCCAAACATCAATGTTCCACAAAGTACTTCTTGTTTCTTTAATGTTCCTTAGTTCGGTTTTTCGTAAAAACCAGATCTAAAGCAATAGCAACGACCAATCAGGAAAAATAGTAAACAAAACTAACCAATCAAAGCTCAAAGAAAAGCCACGTAAGCTGCCAAAAGCGCGGGAAACGCGAGTGACCACGTCGCTGCTAGTTTGAGTTTTGCATCTGATTGGTCAGAGTTAATTCGAGAGAGTTGTGTGAGTTGTCTACACCAATCACGGTTTGAAGTAAAGAAAGAGTAGTCTTGGATTATTTCAAACGTTCCGAGCTAGAAAATTAATTTTACCTTTAGTTGAGGCTTATCACCAGCTGGGAAGTCTATGGCTGCAAAAAATCTGGAAAACAAGGGAATGATTTGACACGAATTACAGCTCTACTTAGTTGAAAATTACACTCTTCAATTAGCAAGGGATTAAACTTCATTACTAAGGGTTCCCATTCATTCTTGCTCCTAGGAACTCTCCTTCTTTTGCCCATCTCTCACACGGCGTTAACGAAGGAACGATAGAACTTCAAGGAAAGTAATGTGTGTGTATCTGGTTCGCAAAGAACATGCGGATAGCAAGCTTTCCTGAAATCAGTTGGAGGTTGCTCATACGTTGTTACCGGAAAATACTGGTCAAATTTTCCACTTATCCCGACCCCCTTGAATGAGTACTTTTGCTTGAAGACAGAACTACAACGAAGTCTCTTAACCAGTCCCAAGCCGCGTGTCGCTCGATAGATCACAGGATATGATTGGCCCCTGTATCACATTACGTCAGAGGACATATCTACAATAAGAGGACATAAGTGCTACGGTACACCTCACCACAGGGAAGAGAGAGAGATCCCGGAAACGAACTTAGGTACTCTTCCCATTCATTCTTGCTCCAAGGATCTCTCCTTCTCCTGCTCCTCTCTCACCCCAGAAAAACAACCCCAGAAAAACAACCCCAGAAAAACAACCCCAGAAAAACAACCCCAGAAAAACAACCCCAGAAAAACAACCCCAGAAAAACAACCCCAGAAAAACAACCCCAGAAAAACAACCCCAGAAAAACAACCCCAGAAAAACAACCCCAGAAAAACAAAACAATAGGTTCTCTTCCACGCATGTCACAGGAACACAGGTACAGTTTTCACACTTACGGATTCGCAAGAAGATCAGCAACAGTCGGAAGTCCTGTCTTGTTACACGCCTCGTCATTTAGGATGGATAGCAACACTGATCCTGTATATTCAAACACGAGCAATGCATTAATTTACCACTACAAGCACTTGAAGGGTCACTTAAAGGATTTGATTCGTGACTACACACCAAAAGTATCCGATCAATTACCTTCAGCTTTGTTAATGGACAATGTTCAGAATGAGTGTCATAAATCCAAAGTATCATCAAGTAGCCAATGAGAACTATCGTATAAACAAGCAAACTGACTGAAGCGCGGGAAAACGCGTGAGACTAAGGCGCGGTTGGGTTGAGTCTCAAACCTGATTGGTTGAGAAGTTGGCGCGAGCTTTTTGGACCAATCACGGAACGAAGCAAAGCAAAACCGAAGCTACAACCGATCATTTTCGATCTTCTTTTGAAAATCCCTCTTAGTACTACATAGAATTGTAGGTCTCATCTAACGGTTTCAATAAAAGCAGATTGACAGCGGTCTACCACCGCCTGCAAGACCTCTTACCGCCGTCTGTTCGGCCTGGAAGCAGGCTCTTGTGTTAGGGTTTAACCTTGCAGCAACTTACGGGTAAAGCAGCGCATTGCACCATTGGCAAACGCTTATGGAAAAAGTTACCCATGAAACATACCTACTTGTACCAGCCTATTTTAAAACTAAAATACCGATTTCATACAAGACTAGTTGAATTTGTTAAACGACACTTACTTAGTTGTAATGGACAGTTTGGAGGGACATCTTGAAGTGTACTGCTTCGCAATGCTTCACCAAAAGCCATCTCATACAACAAATGCGCGAAACAGTAAACATCTTCTGATTCCTTCTCCTACAGCATTGAAATAAAATGCATGAAAACAATGACTTAGCTTCACAAGAAAATTCATTTCATAACTAGATTCCGTCTCCTAACTAATCGTCATTTTTACCGGCAAGTTTTCTTCATTGGTGCACATTCAATTAGATTATCCATAAAACAACTTTTTTTTGCCAGAAATTTAATCTTGTCCAAAACTGATACGACATTCTTATACTAGGGAGCGTCTTATCAAAAGAATCTTAACACGGAAATCGGGGAAGATTTTGGTAAAATATGGGCAGAACTAAACAGCAAATAGATTGTTTAGTGTAAAAGTTTCATACCTGTATTTTCTTCATGGGAACGTAACGATGTCTGTGAATTGATGGAATGCCCAAGAGACCATTTTCGATTTCTAGTAATCTGAAATTAGAAGACAGAGTAACGAAACCTTTATTTTACGAATTCTTGTGATTTAATTAGAATATTATAACATTTAGCAATCCATAAACAGTTTAATTTTGTTCAAAAGGTGATATTTGCCCCAGAGTGTGGACGTAGAGATAATGGTTCGAACGACATATACATCTTAATTAAGCAAGCACGAAGAGGTACGTGAAAGACCTAGTTCACCAATAACCCTGAACTGAAAGATCTAAGATATCATTTGTTGTTGGCAAAAAAATGAGATGAAAGAAGGGACTGTTAACCCTTCAACTCCCAAGAGTGACCAAGACATAATTTCTCCTTACAATATCAACAAATATCAACCAGATAAGTGACGAGAATAAAGAAAAATATCAATTTGGGGATAATTAGTTGATCCAATACTAAATTCTCTGAACTAATATCATAAGAATTGTATGGTTGACAGTAAGGAGAAATACAAATTTGATCCGGGAGTTAAAGGGTTAAGAAGTTAACCAAGGACTTCAACTCTCAGAAGTAATTAACATGTAACTTCTCCTTATGACATCTAAACATTACCCAGCAAAAAGGTAATGAAAATACTCAAACTTACTAAGTAGAAGTTGTTGTTTTGATCTAGCACTAAATTTCTCGTAATTAATTAAATGTGGAGCACCTTGAGGGGAGAATTAACTATCAGATCGTGGAAGTTAGGAGTTGAACAGATTTTTTTTTATATATATATACATTGATACAAGCCGCACAAAGACTTACCTACAAATATTTCCTTCCACAACGATATTTCCTGAATGTAAATGACCTGTGGAAGTAGGAGATATATTTCAAAGCCTGGCACCTTGCATTTGACCAATAAAAGATGAAGTGCACATTGGGGACTGAATTACACCACTTCTGTTGCTTATCCTCTTGTCTTTAACCCTTTAACTCCCAAGATCTCATTGGTAATTCTCCTTAGGGGAGGTATTATGCAATTGAAGTGTCTTCCCCCAAAACATATTGCAAATGACCTACATTATGGCTTCAAGGTGCATCTCTCATTCTGAAGTCCACAGCCAAAATCAGATGACCTTGTGTCTAAGCCACAACTGCACATATTTTTGTACTCGATTAATTCAAAATATACGTTTAAAAAAAAGATTTCCATTCCACTTCCAAAGACAAGTCTGTGAGCATTGCTTACCATAGGGAATTCCTTTATCATGTAAAAACTTTAATGCCTGTGAAATAACAAACAGTAACACAGACTACAGTGAGCTTTTGTCATATTAGCACATGCTGTCACTTGCAAATAGCCCAAGATCACATTTGTGAATAAATTTTCTATCACCTTGTAAGATCAAAGCACTCTCCAAGTTATTTTCATGTGATTCGCATTTATTTCTTTATTTATTTTTTTTTTCATACACTGTACCTCCTTGATAGTGTTTTATGTTAAGTTGGTTAGCCTTTTTCTTTGTCAGTTGCACCTTTTTGCACATTTCTCATACCGCACAGCTCTCTTCTATTGCAGCCCTCTTGTATTTAAAGCCAGTTTCTTTTATACATAATCACCTCTTAAGTCAGTTTACATGATGTCGTGCCTGGTACCACTCTCTGTTTTAGAAGTCAAGTTGGCAGTAATATATTAGGCATTATCAATATTGGTTTTTTTTTTCCATTTTGGTCCATTTGCATTAATTTTTCATTTATAATTTGCTTATCTCAATCAATTAACTTAACTCTTGTTTATATTTTTAGTTTCAACCTACCACTACTGCTGCAATCTAATAAACAGCATTATTTCCAGTTGGAAAGATAGCATTTTTTTGCTCTTACATACCTCTAGAATTTGTCTTCCAAACAGCTGAATGTTCTGTTCATGTAAAACAGCTCTAGATTTTGGATTTCCATATTTCTTTAGTTGATTAAGCTTTGGTTTGGCCTGCAACATTCAAGCAACAAATACTTAAAAATACAATCAAAGCCACAAAGATTCTCAAAGGCAATTAACACTTACAAAGAAACAACAAACAACCAAACAAACAATTGAATACATGTACCTTACAGAGACAGTCTCTAAGTGTTCCATTTGGGACAAAATTACGAACAGCTATAACTCCTTCTGAATTACACGTGGTAAATGAAGGAGGGTATATGTAAGGATGCTGAAAGACAGAAAAGTGAGATCCATGAAAAAAATATATTTCTTCCCTTTATCTTTTTCCTAAAAAAAAAAAAAACTGCAGATTGAGGTCCTCAAAAGAGACATTACACCTTAAGTGGCTTGGTCCTTGATTCTCATATCCTCAATCCTCTAGCTTCAATTCTAAATCCATGATTTGCAATAGTTTCAGAGATCGGGGATTGAGTTTCAAAAAAAAACCTGTCAATTTTCTTTTGAGTGGTACTGAACATAATTTCTGAACAGCTATATTTTTTTGAGGTAGGTCTAGACAGGGTATATGCTAAATAATACAGTTTCCAGAGTCAGTCAGTGAGAAATATTTTCATTGAGTATAACATTTCTTAACAGCAAAAAATAATAAATGAAGTATACATACCTGTAAAGACGTCAATAACTTTAAGATAGCTTCTAGATCTTTCTCATCCAAACTAAATTCAGGACCATAGTCAGTCTAGAAGAAGAAAGAAAATTAAAATCAAAATCATATAGATTACCATGAAGGCTTTTTATTTCTGACAATTACAGTAAAAACCAGCAAAAATTATTACCCAGGTTAGAATGTTCCTGACATCTTTTTTTGTAGGATCTGTAGGCTTTATCAAGAAAAACTGCTTCCTTAAACGCCAACCTGAGGGATGCATGAACATTTAAGTGAATGAAAAACAATTCTGTGGTAATCCATAACAGGAAAAAACATTATACTTTGAACAGACAAAATGTCTATTTCTTACAATTCTTTAGAAATTAAAAAAACTCACCAACATCAGGTAAAGGTTCAACTATTTCCCAATTGGGGACTGACCGTAAGAACATGGCTACATTTTGCATGGCTGTTTCTGTGGGAAAAATATAGTCAGTTAATATTTAATAAATAATACTTAATGATTAATTAATTAAAACTACTTTAACCTACCAATACCTGATTGAAAAAATGCTAGCAAGAAATGGTCTTTTTAAAAATATAGTGCACAGTACTTGATGCTTTGACAATGAAATTTCGCATTAGAGGGTGTAAGAACAACTGAACAATGTGTAAGTGATAGAGTGAAGATATTAAGATAACGCTGTGCATGTATGCACTTCAAATCGACAAGTTAATTACACATCTACCTTGAAAGTCATGTGAATAATTTGCAGGATCCAGGAATCTCTTCACAGAAATGTGTCTCGTTAACATTGGGTGGGCCAGTATAAAGTTGATATAATTCTGAAAGAAAAACAGTGATCCAAGCATGTATCTGGATTACAAAGTTGACATGTGTATCTGTTCTTTTAACATAGCCCACATGCAAGGCCTACCTATTTCCTAGGGAGTAGCTATGGTAAAAAATTCCTTATGTACTGCATGGCCATGCATCCATAACATGACATGTGCAGTTTCACTTCAGCTGAGAGTTTCCGCCAAGTCTAGCCACAAGGACTCAAAACTTTCAAGAAGCTAGAGTTGCTCTTGGCTGCACCTCAAGCAACTCTTTTGCTCCTGTCAAGCTCTCCTAACTACCTGTGTGCAACTCTAACTAGATATACGCATGCTTAGCATGGACCAATTCTTTAACCCTTTAACTCCTAAGATACAATTGATAATTCTCCCTTTTTCCTACACATTTCCTTAGAAATTGGTTATGAGAAACTTTTGTTTGATCAAGAAAAGAACTCCTACCTAATGAGTTTGAGCATTCTCATTACCTGTTTGCTGGATATTATGTAGAGATATTAGAGGGAGAAGTTATGCATTAATCACTTCTGGGAGTTAAAGGGATAAATTATTATAACATACATGTACGTGTACAGCGAAACAAACATAGCTATCAATGGGGTTTGAAGATATGGTACTGCAATGTAAGACTTGACCCAACAGTCCAACTGCAATTCCACACAGCTGTACCAACAATATCAATAAATTACTACCAAAATACTGAGTTGTTCAAAATTCCCTCTTATCTGATTTTTTTTTGTTTAAGAGATGCATCCAAGTCAACCCCATCATTAATCTTTACATGACTAGGAGTAACTTGCATTGGATTTCTCTATACAGTATCACTACTGAATCAGTACAAACAAAGGATATAATTGCCAATTAGAAGAGTACACTGTACTTGATAGGTGAACAAATTCTACTGGTCAGCACTGAACAAAATGTATTTGGCAAGATACAGTATGAAGAATATGGATACCCATGTTTGGGTGCAAAGGGTCAACAATATTTGCCCCCCCCCCCACCCTTTCCTCTCTCATCTCCAATGCTCCTGCCCCCCTGTTTCCATCCACACATTAGACAGTAAATTTTTTTTTAAGATATCAAATCTCCTCTACATTTTTAGATCAGACAACAGCTACTGGAACTGTATTTCCATACCTGAAGACCTTGCTGTCTTTCTGCAATAAATGCTGCATCCATGTTGCCAAATACCTTTTTCGGGGGCATTGGAAGATCAATACCTGAGACCTAAGAAGAAAAGAAAGCAGTGGTACAGTAAAATATAGTACATGTAATTACAAGATAAAAAAGCTGGTGATATGGATGATACTAACACCAATAAAAAATAATTATAAAAAAAAACAGTGTGTAACAAAATAAATTTCAAACTCACAATAGCATTTTTTAAGACATGTTTCACCATAACTCCTGACATCATCAGTTTAGTGTGTTGTATGTGTTCACTTTGTTTTTACGTGGTACATCATCATCATTCAAAACATGAATGAATAAATAGGGAAAGGGAAGTTATTTCTTTTTCAACAAACAGCAGAATGTTTGAAACAAAGCTTTTATGTTTATTTGAAAAGGAACAATATCAAAGACTGTAAAAGTAAAAAATGTACAGAGAATATTTGCCTAATTATTAAAAATGGTTGAAGTGTACTCTAGCTGATGGCGATCAAGGAAACGAAATAGGGAAGCTTATTTGAATGATTGTGGTTAACCAATAGGGACACTTGTTAGAACAGGGGCTCTTATTAACAAATTAAATCAAATTCAAGGGGTTGCATACTAGAGAGGGTGCACTCATTGGAAGGATGGCACTAAATTGAATCCTAGAGGTAAATAATTACAGTTGTATTTCATCTGTATTTTCAGTTTAGGTTGCAAGTGGCCACTGCACAAATGACTCCTTTAATTTAAAGCAATGAGCTGTTTTGGCTGAGTCTAGAAACTTAAAGGAGAGGAACACAGGTGCATGGGAACATAAAAACTTTTGTCTGTCGACAGACATTCTTAATCACCCTGGTGGAAAAACCAGAGTTACATTTTGCATATGTAACCTGATAAATAATTTTATCAGTTATGGCATCCAGAATAGGATCTTGAAAGCTGAATTTTCATTTCTTATGAAAGAGGTAAAGAAAATCCAGAAGATCCTATTCTGGATGTATTAACATCCCTCTATATTCTGACTTGAAAAAGTATTCTTGTGAGTTTGAAATTTAGTTTGATTTGAAAATGGTCACAAAGTTAGTAAAGGTTATAACATGATTTCTCTTGCAATTTGGTGTTAATAATCATAAGTAAATTTTTCAAAGACATCAAAAATTGCACAAGCGCGCAGGGCAAGTGCAATTTGTATTCTTTGAAAAACATTGTAGTGCTTACACAGGCAGCCCAAGCTCCAGCTGTGAGATGATCATCTTGTAAAATAAGAGTCATGGCAAAAATACAAGAGTCTGTATGGGAATATTTACAACCACATCGTCACTTCAACAATTTGTTGATGTCAAGTGTCAGTGTGGTCCCTGGTGAGGCTCAGTTTGCAAAGGAGGCAGGGTTACCATACTAGTTTTTCACTGTCTTGTGTCATGGTAAATGAGTATGTGGGTCATTAAAAACTTCTGAACTGGAAATTTTGGAAGCAAACTGCAGCTTAGCATCGTTTCATGGGGAATATTGAGTTGGTAGTGAATTGAAATTAAACTACAGTATATGTGCTTGGATTCTGCATTGGATTTAGGTCACCCAGTCATTTTGAGCCTGGATTTTTAGCTTCTTGGATTGGCATTCAGAAATTGAGTGTGTACTTCTCTTTAGAGTAGTAACCCTAGAAATGGATAACTTACTCAAATAAGCTCCTTGCAACAAAGTAAGCAGTCACAAAACAAGTAATGCACTGTCAAAGTAAGGTGGGGTATTTTTAGCAAGAATTGGACTGTATTTTTTTATTCCTAAGAGCAGCCATAAATATTTTCAAACAAACTCTTACATTTTCACCATGACTCATCACTCTCATTACGTAAGATGATTGTCCCACAGCTGGAGCTTGGGCTACCTGTGGTGCTTATTACACCAAATTGCCAGAGAAATCATGTTATCACTTGTTAATAATGTACATGACAAAACATCACAGGAAGGTAGGACAGATGAAATTTTTGAAACCATGGACATGCTCTTTGTAATTTGCACTTGTGTTACATGAAAATGCATTAGTTATTACCCAATCAGAAGAGCATAATTTTTCCATGTACATTATTAGAGATGTAACAGTGTGTATGGATTCTACATGGTTATCGTTCCTTTCTTGGAACCAGCTATTACATAATGATGCACTGAACCAATATAGTTGTCCAGAGAAGTAACAAACCTCTAGGGTTGACTGTAGAGTGACAAAATCACTATACCGGTGTGCAACCTTGGAAAAATAAAAATTTGATTATTAGAAAAGCAATAGTTACCCTGTAATTTTACCAAAACCATCTCCCCCTTTTATCAGTGAAACGTTACCTTTCATTCAAACATCGCATCAGTACTTAGCATTTCGAATTCATTCTCAAAATGTTATTCAACCGCAGAAAACAAATTTTAATAATTGATTTAATTTAATAATTGTCTCTATATCTTTGACCACATCTGAATTCAAAATAAACTTCCATTTGTACATCGGACAAGCTTTGCAATTAATTCTTGCAATCTGTTGTATATAGGGCTTGTTACAGTTTCGAAGGAGTTTTCGGAATTTCAGGCGTGATAAATTGAAATAAATTGAAGCGAGATCCTGTGGTTGTTTGTGTGATTGAAATAGCAATCACAAAATATTTGTTGGTAAACGTGTTAACCTGAATTATCGGGAAAAAATTCCGCTTAATCATCTCGATCGATGACGAGACGCAAATCTCCACAGAGGTCGAGTCGCACATCTTATTAATACCCGGAAAATCTACACCCGGCGATTACTGAAAATAATTTTAAAACTGCAAATATGTAAAGCTTAACAAACCTGCCACGAGTCTTCTTGGTTGATGCCCCTCTGCACTTTCATAATATAATCCTACGAGGTAAACCAACAAGGAAAACAAAATATATCAAGCATGCAAATATGATTGGAAAACTAAGCGCTCCACATTATCGGCTAGCTGTAATGTAATACAACTCTTACCACATGGTCTTTCTTGGCAATTCCCTCGATTATGCACATCATCGGTGTTGTGTCATTAATGACATTCCTTTTTCTAGGGACTACAGCCATTTCTAATCAACGTTTGTTAGAAACAGCTGAATCACCTCTGAGAGATGGGGAAGCAATGTGTTTTCGTCAATGACTTAATCGCCGAGAGTTTCATCGTCTAATTAGATGCACTGGGAACAAACTTTCGGGCTCATGTCAGCAGTGATTGGTAGGATGACAGGCGCATGCGTGTGTTTGGCGCGAAGAGAGCGGGAAAAACATGATAACGTCTGTGTGACTTTCCTAAAAATTTGTGGCTCCCCCACAGTTTAAGGGAAGGATTTTACCAAAAAAATATGCCCAAAGCGAAGGATAAAACTAAAAGAAGAAGAATTGAAGAGCTAGAGGTACGTTATGAGCTTTACTCGTGTTGATTGCTGAAAAATGTGATGTAAAATGCGGTGTTTCATTTCTACAGGAAGATTCGCCGCCCAGCCAATCGCGAAGACGTGGTGCAAGGTACGTCTAGGTTAAATACTAGATAAATTTTCCTCTATTTGTTCTCCCACGAGGAAGGCTCTTGTGGAATGTAGAAGTTCAAAATAAAAGTCCTCCCCGTCCTAGTGTGTTTAATGAACCATGCAAGCTACCTACAACCAGCTCTGACAACTTCCGATTTGTGTTCTCGATCGCGTGGTCAAATTCAAATTAAGGAAGTGAACACTCTTGCGTTTTGCGACGATTTAGAGTTACATCTTATTTGTCTTTTACTTCTGTTGAATCCAATAGCCAGCTAGTAGATGACGATGAAATAGAAGAGGTTGACTGTACACAGACTGGAAAATCTCAGAGTCAGAAAACACAAAACTACAAAGAACTCTCCAAAGAAGAATTGAAGAGAAAGGTATGCTGAATGTCTTCATATGATGAGCTGTAATATACACACACTTTCATGGTTCTTACTCATGACAGGAGGGAAGATGCATAGCTGATGTCACCAGACAACATTTTGCTTTCTGTATCATTTAAAACAACATGTTCATGTTACTCTGGATCTGGAAAGTAACAGATCACAGATGACACCAAAATATGGTAAGAGCATCATTGACATACTTGGCTGCTCCTTGTATGCTATGTTTTTGTTCTTATAACATTATCACATCATCTGGGATTGGTAATGTGGAGTCCATTTGTCAACTCACTCTCTCTCTCTCTTGTTTTCTCCATTATGTGCATTTGATTTTGGCCACATTATTTTGCCATGTATAGAATGTTTTGAATTATTCTTTTTGTTGTTTTTTATATTTTTTTACAGACATCTGATGTTGCTAGGTATTTATTGTTCACAGACAGGAAAAAGTATCCAGTCAAACGTGGAGGTACATATTTAAGATGCAGTACCTTTGTCTCAAAATGTGAATATGAAAATGTCAACATGAAAATCTTGATCAATGTAGACAATCTACAAGATTTTCAAACCACATGCAGATCATTTACAAGCAGCAGCAAAATTTAACCCTTTAACTCCCAAGATCTGATTTTTAATTCCCCCTTCTAACTGGCACACAATTCCTTGTAAATAAGTTATAGGAATTTGGTGTTAGATCAAGGTAACAACTTCTTCCTGATAAGTTTGAGTATTCTCATTACCTGGTGGCTGGATAATGTACAGATATTATAGGGAGAAGTTGCAAGTTAATAACTTCTGGGAGTTAAAGAGTTAATCCTCGCTGCATGTAAGGTCCAAAACGTAACATTACTCAAAGAGGACTCTGACTAGTGATTGTCCAGTTCTCAATGTTTTATTCCTCACAGCAACTGAACCCTTTTACCCATAATTGTGACTGGCATCTAATTTCTCCTTACACTATCACCCTTCAGTCAAATATTAAGGTTATGAGAATAAAGAAAATTATCACCAACTAAGGAAGCTCCTGATTGGTGAACAAATTCTCTACATCAGTACCTTAGTAAAAGTATAAAGAACAGTATGGAGAATATGCATACTGATGTTAGGGTGTGAAGGACTAAGAGATGTGTGGAGAAAGATGGAGCTTAAGTGTTGATTAAGAAAGAGGTGATGGTCAAATTATGAGGGGAATAGTTTTGGGCTTGCCATCATACTGAATACTGTTATTTGCTTCATAATGTAGTCACAATCTCTGTAGACCGTAACAGTGACATTTATGATAGGGAGATATATAGGATGATGCTACATTATTGTGTTATCATTTTTAGTAGTCTGGGATGATGTAAAAGTCTTTACCTTTGCAAGCATCTTTCTTTATTTTTTTATAATTTTATGACTATTTTTCTTATCATCAAGCATGAATATACTATGACTCCTTGTACTAAACTCTGCCTATGTGATCTGTAATTGTTTCAGATATAACCAAGAATGTGCTAAAGGAACATGCCAAATCTTTTAATGAAATCTTTGACCATGCCAAGAAAAACTTAAACAAGGTATACAAATACATTTTGTAGAGAGCATTGTTTCTATTAGAATATCTCTGGATTCAGTCTGACTTGTTCTGATTGAGAGCTGTCACTGTCAATTTCCTATTGCTGTTTGCCTTCCCTCATCAACTCAGAATTGATAATTAAATTATTTGTTTCACTTGCCAGCCAACATACACATAGCACAGCAGTTTCCTTAGAAACTGATAGCCTCTTTTATTTGTATGACTGTAGGAAGGTTTAAAACCAATGGAATGGGATTTTCACATGCAAATAATACACTCTTCAAAATGAATCTGCCATACTTTTCAATAATCAGTAATGCCATAACCTTAGACATGTAAGGACCTTGTGTTTGCTGTGACAAGGTGTCTTTCACAAACACTCCACTTAACAGATACCATCATTTTATATTTGCAGGTTTTTGGAATAGAAGTGGAAGAAATTGATGTAGGAAAGTCAAGAGGTTATATTTTAGTGGATGGTGTCAAAAGTGAAGAACAGCATGAACTAATTGACTGGTAATTCAATTAAATCCCTTATTCCCAAGATGAAATTAGTAATTCTTATTTCCATGCTTCTATAATTCTGTGTAAATTGGCTATGAGAATTTGGTCATCTATCAAAGTATCACCCTTTGGCTCTAAACCATTTATGACTACCCATAGATGACTAAGACTGAATTTGTCTGTATCATATTAAGTCTAACTGCTATTGTCTGAAAAATAGCTGCATTGTTCATACACTGAATTGTTCACTTTGGTGATAAAAGCATGAAACTTTGTATGCTTAGTACTAATCTTGTTACAAATAATTTTTGATGTGTGGGTTGACTGAAAACCCTGCTGCCCTTGGAAGATGGATGGTGGTTATGCATCAGAGCTGGCTAGAATGCTTGAAGAGTTCTCACCAATGAGAGCCAAACTCACCATGAGCAAAATTCAGCCATTCAAAGTGCCTTTGCTAAAGATGTAGTCAATCTTAGTGGTGAGTCACAGCATCCCCAGCAACCTGTTTTGCTGCGTTAAGGTAAGATAGTGATGGCAGCTCAAAATAGTCATAGGGTGCCTTTCTAGACAACCCTCTCCCAAGCTAAGGACTCCTACAATGAACTTAACCTAACCCTTAGGCAGAAAAACAGGTTGTTGGTGATGCTGCAAATGCCAAAAAGTCAGTCTAACTTGCACTGGATTGAGCAACTGTGGAGGTAATTGTAACTAGTTTGTGAAACTCACACTTTGAGTTGACTCAGTTCATATCAATCTCAAAAGCTTTCCTGTAAATTCACAGTTTTCAACAACATCTTAGTGTCTGTAATGGCTATATAATATGGTTATTCTCACTGTATCTTGGCCCTTTTCTCTGATATATAGTACCAATAATTCTATGATGGACTTATTTTCAACTTCCCCCTCAAGCTGTACAGTAGTATTCATTTCAGGTGATGGGGGTGTTAAGAAAATACAGTGCAAGTGCAGTATTGATTAATAAGGAAGGCCTAAATGTAAGACCTTTTCAAGGTCAGAAACACATGAAAAGCCAGCATGTGGCCACACATAAAAATGATAGTGGATTGCTTGGCTTTCATCAGAGCAGTAAACCATTAGTATATTCCAGCACAGGTGCCTCAATCAAGATTCTCAAAATTGAAAGAAAGGACACTTGATCACATTTAAGGCAATTAATGACACAATATATCATTTGTTACTGATATATCAGTTTCAAGTTTGTTTTAGTGCTCTTAGACGATTTCATTATCAGTCTCATTTCTAGGTTGGCAATTTCGGGGCATGTGCAGATCTCATGATCAGAGCGTAACCTAGCCTGGATCCATATGATGTATCAGAAATGATATGTTACAGGATTAGTAGTAAGCATGTCAAGTTTCATGCTTTTATCACAAAAGTGAACAATTTTGGACGATAGCAGCTAGACTTTATATAAACACATTATCAAGAAGACAAGTGGTGAGAATAGCAAAAAATATCAATTAGGGGATCATTAGTTGATCCCACACCAAATTCTCAGAACTAACAACATAAGAATTGCATGACAGGGAGTAGGAAGAGTCTCTAATGAGATCTTGGAAGTGAAAGGTTTAGTGCATCTATCCTCATTACCCCGAGAAGTTAATTGCTACAGGGAGGTAGATTTTTTACATACTGTTTTATAGAAGACCAGCCAGGGAGGATTATATCTTCACTTCTTTTATGATACTTCTGTTTTAGGGGAGATGATCTTCCCAAGATGGGTCTGCTGATGGTTGTGTTAGGCATGATTTTTATGTGTGATCATGTGATTACTGAATGTAAGTACAACTGAGGTATTTTTGGCTGACAGGAAAACTTACTGATGTCTACATCATTTAGTATGATAAGCTGAATTATCCATTTAACCTTAGAGAGTGATCAGCTTCTAATTTCTCCTTACAATATCACTCCTGAATCAAACATAAAGGTCACGAGAATCAAGGAAATGATCACCAACTTAAAGAGCTCCTAATTTTTAAACAAATTCTCTTTGTCAGCACTTCAGGAAATGTATAGAGAACAGTATGGAGAATATGCATTCTGATGTTAGGGTGTAAAGGGTTATACGTGTATTTTGAATGGTTCTTACTTATGATCTATAGGAGGGCAGATGTATAAATGATATCACTATTAACAACATTTTGCTTTTTTCATCATCTAAAAAAAAATAGATTCCAAGTTGCCATGGGT